ATTTTATCTAGAGCACATCTTATAAATGCTTTTCATAAGTTAAATATTGATAAATATAACTTTAAAACATTCCAGGATAATTGAAATATTTTTTCCAGTGAGAAAAACAGGCTATGTGCTTTTTACAGAGGAGTGTGGCATAGATTACTGACTTCTGGCTCAATTGAGGTTTAGGGCAATTACATTTTGTGTATCATTTTAAAGGTTAATGTATATGTAGATTTGTATTCAAATAATTCAGGCCATATAATTCATATTAATATTTTCCTGCCTCCTCACAAAAAAATAATGACATTCACAAACAGTATAAATCACTATGATTTTTTTTTCTCTGGTGATCCATTCTGCTTTTAGATTGACAACTCTATATGAAAGGACATTTCATACACAGAAATAAGAAGAGTGTTATTAGTTTATGCCCTCAAATTAATCATCCAGAAAATAAAATATTTGAAAACACCAAAATCCCTTGGATTTTAAAAAATATCTGTATTTAAATACATGGAGATCATTTTTGTGAGAGATCTTTGAATTCCTTGTATGGAAAATAATTGAATAGCAGTAAGAACCAGATCTTTTTCACCAAAAAAAAAAAAAATCTCAAAAACTGTGGATGTCCTGAAGCACTGAAATGGATTTCCAAACAAGCTGCTAAATTATGCCTGCAGTTGCTGTAAATGTTCGTGCAAGGTCTCTCACTTCCTCTGCGGAGAAAACCCATCTCCTGCTTTAGACTCTTCTCTACTTTCCTCCTTTGTTTGCTGCCTTGGCTGCAGTGTCCTTTCTCCGAGTGAAGTGGTGCGTGGTTTACTTGGAGGTAATGCCAGATAAATTTATATTGTGCTGAAAGTGATACCACAACAGATTCATCGCTTAGCAGAGACTGGTGGCTGCGTTTCTCAAAAGTTCCCCATGGAGGAATTTTTCCCCATGGTTTTTAAATGGCCATCGTTACCTTTTTGAATCATGAGTCTTCAGAAATGGTTTAAATCAATGAAAGAAAAGGGGCAGATGTTTAATGTTTATATGAGTTTTAAAAATCTCTTCAGGCATTGCAAAATGGTTCCTCAGCTCTGTGTTTCAAAAGCTGACTCTTGGTTCTATTCCATCACTACCTACTGTTTGCACATAATACATATTTTTCAGATAGTGGTTATTTTGCAGAGATTCTCTTTTAAAATGGCTCATTTTAATTCACTATTTATGAAAATAATTTCAGTTGAGAAGGCTGTCAAAGTGTATTATTCTGACTTGCTTGATTTTCACCCATACAATAAAGGCTTCATCAACACTTCTATTTTAAAAGCTCTATGTTCACAGAACTGTGATTTGACAGTAAAATTTGCTGCAACTCACAACTTAGCCTGCATAGTTTTTGCTTGGGTTCTCTTTTATTTGTTTATTCAAATTCTTCAATATTTTTAGCTTCTATAACTCTTAAACCACGTTTGTTTTGTTTTTTCAAAGAAACATTTTGGGTGCTTCAGTTTCTTACACATTGCAAACTTTGTATTTTGCATAATGTGTACATATGTGAATTATTTTATACTATTTTGACTATTCCAACACAAAATTACCTGTGTGGTTATGTGTGGTTAATTTACTCTTAATGAGTATAGTAAATACTGTGCAGATTGCTGCCTAGAATTTCACTTCTCATAGTCACTTATTATATAGAAAAATCCCATTCAGATATTTTATTTGAATACTCAGTTATTTTTGTATTCATAAATTCAGTTAGCAGTACTAACAATAAAAATTCACCTTACAAATTTCAGGCAGTCCTGCCTCTGATCCCAAGCACATAATTATGAATTGATGGGTATCTTTGGCTCTGTAGACTATGTAATTAACTATGTACATAATTAAAATGATACTAAGCTTCCAAGAGTGTTTTAGCTAGCAGCTGTCCAATTTAGCTTTTATTATGCCAAGGAATCCTTATTTTATTGGATCCACTGCGAGCAGAACGGACTTAGCAACTCTGCAGCAGAGGCAAAGAGTGGATAGGATAACAAGACAACTTGTGTACCCCCAAAATCCTAACATCTCCTGGAGTAGTAGACTGTTTTGGGGACGACGTAAGTAATAAGCTTTTTTAAAAAAAAAAAAAAAAGATGATTCAATTTCTGTGCAAACCACAGAGTTCTTACTTTTTAACTTTTTAAAGCATTTTAACTGTAACTATGAAGCTTTAGCAAAGCTTTAGTGACTGTAAAGTTTTAGCAAATTAGTGCTGTCTATCCCCTAATGTTCACATCACACAGATCACCTAAAATTCCTTTATTTCAGCAGCCATAACAATATTGCTCTTCATTACTGTGTAGCTGTTTGAATTCTTTGATGGAAGATTTCATAGATGAAATAGAGGGGGAGTAGCAGATCTTTGTTTACCAGGTGGGATTTATTCTGTTAATATTGCAAGACACTTTAAAAGTTATGTAGCAAGTGCTACAGATAGGACAGCATGTTTATTAACTAGTCTAGAAAGGGACACTTGTCAGGTTTTGGTTTTCTGCTTAATTCAGTTTTGTAATTAACGCATATTACAATGAAGCTTCTAATCTTTTTCTTTTTAGAAATAGCTCAGCTAGCTAACTATGACAATGGAACAGCAGAAACTCCAGAAACAGATGAATTGATGAGTGTAAGTTTTCCTGTTACAGTTCTGCTTTCACTGAAGCTGAGTAGAGAAAAATAAACACATGTTGTTCCTTTGCCCCCGCCTGAATTTTCTGTCTGTGAATGTTAAGGAGAACAGAGCAGTGCTCAGACTAGCACCATGATGCACAGCAGGTAGAAAGTTAGCAACAGAGAAATTTCTACCTATTTTTCTAGATATAGCAGTATCTGTAGTGTCCATCAAGTTATTCTGTGTTCATGGTGCTGAGCTTGTTTCTATTTTGCTGCTGCTTCCTTTATTTCTGTTTAATGTATTTACTTTCCTTTTGGGAAGGACTTCCAAGTCCTTTCCTAAAAACAAAGCATTTCAAACAGATTTTTCACAGAGGCAGGTAATTATCAAGTTGTTACGAGAGCCTGTACAGGTCCAGGGGAGAGAAAAGCAAAAAGTGAGCTAGTTAACGAGTAGTCTTGATGGAGAAAGCCAGTTTGGAATGGGGAAGATTGTGCACTGTTCATCTGAATCTGTGTCTGGAAATATTTTAGCAAAATAGTGAGTCTCTAATATGTCAGATGCTTGTTTGGGGAAACCAAGGGAAAACAGGTTGGTGGAATTGAGTGGGTTAGTATGGTTTAAATTTTTATTTTAAAGAAACCCTGCTCTTATACCTTGGATGTTAGTCAACAGAGTAAATCTTGCAAAAGCAGTTTAGCATAGATTTTTATTGCAATTTCATAGAAAGAAGGAACCCATGTATAGGAAGCTCAGTGGTACTTAACTGGCATTTGTAGTTTAAAATACTGTCATGAGATACCCGATAGGCTAGTTCTGATATGCTACAGAGAAGACATTGTTCTGTGCTAGATGTCTTACCACCTTGAGATAATTTCTGATTTTTAGGGCAAAATGCTACCTTTAAAGGCTTCCAGAGCTATGGTGGTTCCTTATCTCTATTGCTCTGGTTCATTTTCACAGTGCTTAAAGGACCATTGGTAGACCTGTCCATTGCATTGTGGAAGAATACTGACAAGTTGGAAAAAAAGTCAGTAAGCAATAACAAAAATATTTAAGGGAAGTGTTGACTTAACAAGGGGAATGTAAAAGTGCAAACTGGAGAGCAGCTACGTGCAAACCAGCTCAGCAATGGCTAAGAAGCTGTGTTGTGTAAATACAAATATTGAAGTTAAAGGAAGGATAATGCGGTGCAAGTAATGAAGGAATATAACTTGGGGGTGATGAAGTGAAATCAGGAAAGAAAAATACAGAATGAATATTTAGAAATGTTTTCTGAAAGTGTTTTTGTGCAATAAACATAGGTTTATATATTTATGGAATAAATACACATAGGAAGAGGCAGGTAATATTACTCAGAAAAGTGACGCATAGGATCATTCAAAATCATAAATGTGAAATTAGGAAGAATTGTGTACTGTTGTGCAAAGGGTCTAAACAGTTTAAATGATCTTTTTTCTGTTGTTGTATAGTTCATTCTATTAACATACTAATCTTCTTGCACTGAATTGTTTCTTCAAAAAGTATTTAATTGAAAATGTTCCAAACAAATCTAATTTGAGCTCAACTGCTTAGATAGAGATCATAGAACTTTTCAGAAATTTGGAAAACATCCTGAAAAAGATCTTGTGGGTTTGGAATGTGGAATTATTTTGGAAACCTTCCTCTCCTCTCCCCGTATTTCTAATTTACTTTTCCACCTTCAAGACCAGATAATTTTTTTAAAAAATACATCTAGAGAAAAGGTGGGTGCAGTAGTTACGATAACTGAGCTCAGTAGTGGTTCTCATTACTGCATTTTTTTTTCTCCCATATTTTTCATTTTGTGAATGTCTCTCTGCATCCTAAATGATTTCAGAGCACACTAACTAGAATTACGTACAGGTTTGTGTAAACAAGCGCTCATCTACACATGGTTACCACCAGAATTAGATTGACTAAGACAGGAAGGCAACAGCCAGCGAGCACTTAGCCGGGTTCACAGGAGCGTGTCCCTCCAGACAGGGAATTGCTGATACTTTGCCCTTCTGGCTTCAGGCCGCTCTGCTGTAACCCTGGTGTGCAGAGCAGACAGCTGCAGGACCACAGCTACCTTTCTGTTTTAGGCCTCCTTTTGCTCCCTCACTTTGCTACCGGTGCAGCTGGCTGGGTCACTGGGGTAGGCAGCCCAGGAATGTTTGATTTGTTTGTTCTCTGGTATTGGAAAAATACACTATATTAACTTTGCTCCTTGGCCTCTTTTACTTTGCAGAGCTCTAATACCTCACTGAAGCTGCGGAGAAGACCTCGGGAAAGTGATTTTGAAACAATTAAGCTGATTAGTAATGGAGCTTATGGGTGAGTAATCTATGAGTGTAACATAGAATTATAGAATCATAGAATGCTTAAGGTTGGAAGGGACCTCTAGAGGTCATCTAGTCCAACCCCCTGCACAGGCAGGGTCACCTAGAGCACGTGGCACAGGACTGCATCCAAGTGGGTTTTGAAGATCTCCAGAAAAGGAGACTCCACAACCTCTATGGGCAGCCTGTTCTAGTGCTCTGTCACCCTCACTGTTAAGAAATTTTTCCTTAAGTTCCTGTGGAACTTTTGGTGCTTCAGTTTGTGGCCATTACCTCTAGTCCTGTCAGTGGCCACCACTGAAAAGAGACCAGCACCATCCTCTGCACTCCCTCCCTTGAGGTACTTATAGACACTGATCAGGTCCCCTCTCAGCCTTCTCTTCTCCAGGCTGAACAGGCCCAGCTCCCTCAGCCTCTCCTCATAGGGCAGATGTCCCAGGCCCCTGATCATCCTTGTAGCCCTGCGCTGGACTCTCTCCAGCAGCTCCACATCCCTCTTGTCCTGTGGGGCCCAGAACTGGACACAATCCTCCAGATGCGGGTAACAGTTCTATTGCATTTCATTTTGGAAACTTCCAATTATTTCTTATTGCAAGGATATTTAGGTTAGGGAGCTCATTTTTTTCTGGTGCTCTGTTCTTAGTTCTGTTTGCCTGTTTTGCTGCTAATATTTAATGTTCCCAAGAGAATTTTTGGAAAGCCTGCTAGGCAATAATGAATTGCTGTGCACTGCAGTGAATTAAAGTACTGAAAATGTCACATCACAAAAATTTTTCAGAAATTGTCATCATGTAATGCTAAAGAAAAAATCTGAACAAATCAAAAGACTGGTTTAAAGTCACCATTTTAATACTGGAAACGATCTGTTTTTGCACATGTGAAACAGAATGTGACTTAATCTCTAGGGATACAAATTATTAAAAAACAGTGCTTTTTTGTACTAAAAATAGGCTTTTTTATACTAAAAATTGCAGCCATGCTTCTCTCTGGCAGCAGCTCAATAAGACTGAATCTTAAGTGTTCCTGATTGAATAGGATGCCCTGATGGGACAAGAAACATTTAGCATTCTTAGTACTATTGGTCATGACAGCGTGTATAGAGGCTTGTATCTAGTGCTTCAGCAAGTTGGAAGAAGAAAGCATAGTTTAACATTACATAAATATCCAAATACAACTTCTCTCTAACGTCTCCAGGATTGATCCCCTCAGGATTTCTCCTTAGGCAAACTCATTCCTGTATGCTATTTACTCTCCAAAACTCCAGCAGTTTGTGGTGATTGCTGCTCCTCTCACTGGCTACATCCCCCTCTCCTTCGGTTGGCAACTGCTTCATCCCCTCCTTCCCCCCTTTCATCTGCTACCCAGTCCCTCTTGGCTGTACTGGAGGATGAGAAGAGCTGTGTGCGGCTGGCATGTGTAGGAGGAAACGGAGGTCTGAGTCACTGGACCCGCCCAACTTGCAAGTAGTTTTAGGATAGGGGGCGGGGAAGGAGGGAATGGATGCAGAAGAGCATGTTGAGACCAGAGATGTGAAGCTTGCTGCTTGAAGGCATAGGCTCCATAGGTCTGTGACTCTTGTTGCTTAGATTTTCAGTTGGAAGGAGCCTAGGTAGGTCATCAAGAAACATAGGCTGGAGACAACTGTGCATTTGAAACAACAGGACAAGTAAGGATTTGAGAAGCTGGAAAAGAAAAGAAGAAAAATCAAGGCTTACTATGGCGCGTGTGATGTAGACGTGCAAGATCAGTCTTCCTGTGAAATCTTTGTTTATGGAGGGGAAAACCAGTATCTGTTATGTGACAAACCTTAATGAACTTAACTTATAAAATCGGCAACGTAAGTGCAGTAAAAGTTGAATGGCACCCTGATAAATTTGTGAGGAAAGATTTAATTTAGGCTGAACAAATTTGGAATGTGTCTAGATTCTATTTGCATCGCTATTGTCCTTCTATCAAAACTGAAAATGGGTAGGCTGACTTCTGACTGTGTTTTATACTGTGCTGTGGTTTATACTGTGATAATATTAGAAATGGAAAATATCATCCATTTCAATGGGATACTGTTCCATGCATCATGTGAATTTCATTGTGTTTTTTAAACAACAAAAAAGAATGAACAATTGAATGAAACAAAAAGAAAAACAAGAACTAGAAAGAAAGATGTAACCCACTAGTGACTAGTGTAGAGCATAAGGAAGGCATTCAGTGAAATGTGTGAATATAAACTTATTTTAAAATACTTACTAAAAAGTTTGAAATCTTTTTAGCATGCAGACTTTAGCAGCAAGTCACTTACAGTGCTAATAGCTAAGAAGGCTTGAGCTCTTAAAGCCTCTAGAATACCATTTTCTCAAAAGTATCTATATGCTTGAAGATTTCTAGTATATCAGATAAGAGGGACAGTTATATCTGGTGACTTTTTTTGGTGTAAGTGTTAAGCATTTTTTTCATTAATGCCATACACCTGGTAGTTGATTACTGAAAACCTGTGATCAGATTTAAAGAGCAACATCATGTAACATCACTATTACCTGAACTCCTTCTAACCTGTCAATAAAATGGAGAATAATTGTACAATATCTATTCTCTCTGCTAATACAAAGCAATAAACTAACCCATAGGTGTTTATTGCAGTTTATTACAAGTATAAGCAGTTGAAATAAAAGTTATCGTTATTATGTACAGAGTAAAAGGCTTTGCTCACTAGAAGCCTCTAGCTCTACAGTGCAGCTTAGAAAGCAGAGAGTAGGGATTTTTGTGCTGTGGGGGCTCTTATATTCATCATTCATTGCAGACTTACCCAAAATGGTGAACTTTGAACTGGGGGGGTCTGCTCCAAGTGAGTGTCCCTTTCCAGCGTATTGTAGGCCATATACCTTATCTTCCTCTGCAGCTAATCTGTATGTGAGTAGGAGCTACTGCTGTTCTCTCCAGTGGCAGAGAAAGAAGGTTACCGTGCTGAGTGTCTTGAATTGCCAGCTTCCTGGGTGTGCAGCAGATTGAAGAACTCGGTTTCCTGAGCATTTCTGCAAATATAGACCAGCTCTTGATGAGCTTGCTCAGGAGATCTGAGCAGTAGTTTCACCATTTTGCACCTATGTTAACTAGCTGCTATCAAGATAGCAGACATTGCTATCGTTAGATATGGAGAGGTGCTTTTATGCACCAGGATCTACGTGAAGGGTTGAAACATCATACTGTCCTACTTACAGGTGCTCCCCAGGCTGGAGACAAATCAGACTAACTCCAGGATAATGCAAAATGTAACAGTGAGGATATCGCTTATGAAAATGAAGCATAGTTCTTGGTTTGCTATAGTTTTAAACAGCAAATGTAGCAAATGGTACCTGTGCATCCACAAGGATTTCAAGGTGCTTTAAGAGATTAGAGAATCAGAGCAAAGCAAGTGATACAGCTGTGTGAGCCTAAAGCAATGAATGTAGACAAGATTATGCAATAGGACTAGAAATTGAGGCTACTGAAGAAAATATAAAATAAGTCTGAAGCTTATAAATAATTTAAGGAAAAATAGATATCTGTGTTGTAAGATTTAAGTTGGGGCAATTCAAGAACCCAGTCGTCATTTCTCTTGTCACCTCGGAAACATGCATCCATGTTTTACATTTGTGCCTAGCAAAAGGTATTTTAAAGAGTTTGTTTTGTTTTGTTTTCAACCTGAAGAAGAAGATTTTTGTTACAAGTGAAAGGCTATGTGCTTTTCAGGAAGGACAGGCTGGGAAGGCGAGGTGGTGGAGTTGCTCTTTATGTGAGAGAGCAACTGGAATGCATGGAGCTCAACGTGGGAGTGGATGATTGTAGGGAATCCCTACGCAGGGTGTTCTCCTGGTGCCGTGGAAACTTAGAGCGGTGTGGAGAATCAGACTCAAAACTTCATGAAAGCTGCATCTGATCTCGTTTATTAGCTTTTAATTAGCAGAATATATAGCCCAAGCCATAGCAACAGAGCATCATGTAACAATATGATTGGTTATCCGCACTGACCTGTATTGACGTTGATGGAGCTGATAGGTTGCCATGCCGGTATCCAAGCGCCTAACCGCAAGATTAAAAACAGTATCTCAGCCCTAGGAACTTCTTCAAGTACAGGAGGTACTTCCTTAAAAGTTGTTTACCGAAACTCAGTGATTCTGCACGTCAGCCTTTTCAGTCCGGGTTAAGGATGGTCAAAGACACCCCCCTGTACAACGTCCCCCTACAGATGATGAGCAAGTTGAGAGCTTGTGGGTAAGGGTTAAAGGGCAGGCTAATGTGGGAGACACTGTGGTGGGTGTCTGCTACAGGCCACCTGACCAGGATGAGGAAGTTGATGAGGCCTTCTATAGTCAGCTGGATGTTGCCTCACAGACACAGGCCCTGGTTCTCATGGGGGACTTCAACCACCCTGACATCAACTGGAAGGACAACACAGCCAGGCACAAACAGTCCTGGAGGTTCCTGCAGAGTGTCGAGGATAACTTTTTGATGCAGGTTGTGGAGGAGCCAACGAGGAGAGGTGGGCTATTGGACCTCGTGCTAACAAATAGAGAGGGACTTGTAGGAGATGTGAAGGTGGGGGGTAGCCTCAGCTGCAGTGATCATGAGTTGGTGGAGTTAAGGATCCAACAAGGAGGTGGCAGGGCTGTAAGTAGCCTTGCAACCATGGACTTCAGGAGGGCCAACTTTGGCCTCTTCAGAGACCTCCTCAGAAGAATCCCATGGGCTAGAGCCCTAGAAGGAAGGGGGGCCCAAGAGAGCTGGTTAGTTTTCAAGCGGCACTTCCTCCACGTACAGCAACAGTGCATCCCTGTGTGTAAGAAGTCAGGCAGAGGGGGCAGGAGGCCTGCGTGGATGAGCAAGGAGCTGCTGGCAAAACTCAAGCAGAAGAAGGCAGTATACAGAATGTGGAAAAAAGGACAGGCCCCCTGGGAGAAATACGGGAACGTAGTCAGGGAATGCAGGGTTGTGACAAGGAAAGCTAAGGCACAAGTGGAATTAAATCTGGCAAGGGATGTTAAAAATAACAAGAAGAGCTTTTCCAAATATATCAATGCTAAAAGGAAGTTTAGGCAAAACATGGGTCTGCTGGTGAACGGGATGGGTACCCTGGTTACGAATAACACAGAAAAAGCAGAGCCACTGAATGCCTTCTTCGCTTCAGTGTTTACCAAGGGCAACCCTCTGGAAACCCAAACCCTAGAAACCAGAGAAGGTGCCTGGAGAGAGGAAGACTTGCCCTGGGTAGAGGAAGATTGGGCCAGAGAGCACCTAGGGAAAGTTGACATCCACAAATCCATGGGCCCTGATGGGATGCACTCCAGAGTGCTGCGGGAGCTGACGGATGTTATTGTTCAGCTGCTCTCCATCATCTTCGAGAGGTCCTGGAGAACGGGGGAGGTGCCGGAGGACCGGAAGAAGGCCAATGTCACGCCAGTCTTCAAAAAAGGCAAGAAGGAGGACCCAGGCAACTACAGGCCAGTCAGCCTCACCT